TTTTAATATTTTCAAGGGAGATTTTGACTTCCTGTATTATAGACTTCATTTCTAACAGTTCCGTTTGACTCTTTTGTAAAGCATGTAATTCCTCTTTTAGATCTTGCAAGAATTTCTCACCTCCTGGAACTTGTCGACTTCTTTCTCCTTTCTCTTTAGCAGTTCATTGTCTCTCTTCTCTTCCATCTCAGTTAGCTTCGCCATTATGAATGTTCTAAATTCTTTATCAGACATTTCCATGATTTGCATTGAACTGCTTGTGGATGAAGAGGAGTTATTCTTTTCCCTTGGAGGAGAGGTATTTTCTTGCTTTCCCATATTTCTTGTGGTTCTGCAGTGATTTCTTGTCATCTGATGGATAGTGTGTTTCTTTTGAATTCTTGAAGTTCAATCTGAGTGTTCAGGAGCAAGCAGAAAGAGGTGATCTGGAATCTCTTTGCCGTTCTGTTGTGATCACTGGTGCAGCAGATTCAGTAGATATTGAGGAATGTTAACTCTAATAGTATTTCGATGTTTAGCTACAGTGTCCTTAGATCCATCACACTAGCTTTGTTTGCTAGAGGCTGAATTATCAGTAGAAAATATTCATTTTTCCTGTCCCCTGAAATGATTAGTTTGCAGGAGCCATGAGGAATCCTCCCATATTAATAATATTTTATATTGCTTGTCCTGACCTGTAGCCCAAGAGACAGAAATCTGTGTATGGGTTTTATGGACTTTATAAAGCTGTTGAAATTATAGGCAATGTTTTAAGTAACTATTTGGTTGTATTAAAATTTTCTTCTATGGAAGGAGATAATACAGAGTTAAAAAAATTAATTAGTCCTTCAATTTGTTTGCAACCCAGAAAGATTAAGAACTCAGTGAAAATAGTAATATATAACTTATATTTAAATATGAATTAGTTTTAATACACACTAAATGTGTAACAATGTAACAATAGTTAAGTAAACTATATGGCACATCCTTATAAGATATCACATAATATGTAAATTGTGATTGTGAAATATACTTAATGAAACAAGGCAGATACTCATATGGCAAATGGAAAAAAGCTTTCTATGGTGTGATCGAAACTGAATATCTATATGTTTATTTATAGACTATGATTTACCATAGGGTCATATATGGATACACACACACACACACACACACACACACATACACACACACATGCTCACACAACTTGGAAAAAATATATCAAGATATTAGCAATGGTTAGCCTACTGGTATTGAAATTACAAGTGTATTTAAAATTATTTATTTTATTTATATTATTTAAAAAATTTGCTATAGGCACATGCATTCATCAGAGAGAGACAGAGAGAGAGAAAGAGAGAGTGAACAGGAAAGTGAGAAAGCAAGCCCCCAGGTCTGAGACTCAAACCTCTCTCAGCCATATGGAAGTCCAGTGCCTTAAGTATCATGCCACTTCCTGACTCCTACAAATGTGTTTTTAATTGATGAACTGTCTACAGAAACACACATCATGTTTGTGAGGCTGGCAGGTGGCATGTTGGTTAAGGGTGCTGGACTCCCACATGGCCAACCATGGTTTGAGTCCTGGACCTGGTGGCTTGCTTTCTCACTTTCCCTCTCTTTGTCTCTCTCTCACACTGGTCAAAATTTAAATAAATAAATAAATAAATAAAGTTAAATGAAATAATTCTTTTTAAAAAAGATAAAAAGGCTGTAGGATCACTAATTAAAATACCTTGTCTCATATATGAAAAGAATTTCTTCCAGAAGTCCATTCCCTCACACTATGTTGTGATACTTTTAGGGGCCTATGACTTATTCCTAGGCAAACTCTGTCTTTCTGGGTCTCATTTTCTCTACTGAGTGCATCAGAATATCTACCTCACCAAGACTAGAGAAGGAGTAAAGAGCGAGTGGATACAGAATTCCCCTTCACCCATTCCATGACTTTCTGCTGTCATTTGCCCATCAGCTACTACTTGCTTCATGCGGCTCTTGTGGAAGCAACAGTTTCGAGGTTTTGAGAGTGGATAGTTCCTTCAGGTATTAATGAACACCCAGGGGCCTGGAGAAAAAGTGTTT